ATTTATACGCAACCTTAAGTATTAGAGAGATATACTTTGATCAAACTAATTACCCTCTCTTTGTTCTACTTCAAACAAACATTGTAGCTCTACTAGATCTGCTGTGTAACAAGTTAGAGAAAAAATAGAGAAAAATACTGGTGAGGCATTGTATCAAGAAAAGACGAGTGACATAGAAACTAAGTTGTTGGTGTAAACTACACCATTCACTTTATACTCAAGAAACTCTATCACTGAAAGAGAACTCCCTTGCAACCCAAGGGGACTGAACTATGATTCATATTGAATCCGAATCAGTATAAAAACTTCGGTGTCTTTAATTCCTACACTTTACTTCTGTATTTTAATTCTACACTTCTTATTATCTCGCTATTACATCTAGTCGACTAATTGAAAAACCAGTCAACTTATAATAATTAATTTTAAAATAAGCAATTCACTCCCCCCTCCTCTTGTACTTTCAATTGGTATCAGAGCAAGGCTCATATTTTTCTTTTGCCTAACAACTTGTGAGAAAAGATCATGGCTAATCAAGTTATTATTGGAGCACTCTTCCAAGAAGGAACATCGTAAGTAAGGCCGCCATATTTCAATGGACAACATTTTTCTCACTGGAAAGTGCGTATGGAAATATACGCAAAGTCTTATGATGTAAAGGTGTGGCGAGTTATCAAAAAGGGGAACTATCCTCTGCTGGCTGCTGCTCAACCACCTGCTGATCCTGAAGATATAGATGAATATACTGATGGACAAATGACAGTTGTGCAAGTTAATGCTAAAGCAAGGAATCTGCTTTATAATGCTATAAGTGGTAAGAAATATGAGAAAATCTCCAACTGCGATACAGCTAAAGAGATGTGGGATAAACTTGAAGATACTTATGAAGGAATCAGTAAAGTGAAAGAAACCCATATCAACATGATGGTTCATGACTACGAACTCTTCCAGATGAAAGAAGGAGAATCCATTGAAGAGATATTTGCAAGATTTAGCAAAATCATTAGCAATTTAAAAGTTTTTGGCAAACCATACTCAAGTGGTGATCATGTTAGGAAAATTTTGAGAAGTCTACCCACTACTTGGCAGACAAAAGTGGTTACACTTGAATCATAGGATTTGAACAAATTAGCATACGATGAACATCGAGGAGAACTTATAGCCTTCGAGAAAACTCATCTCAAGAAAACAAACCAAGAAGAAAACAGTTGCTTTCAATGATACAATTGAAAGAGCAGACACTGATATTGATGACGACCCTGAAGTTCTTCAAGAAGAAATTGCCATGGTATCAAGGAACATGGATGGTTTAATGAGGAGATACAGGAATACAAGAAGAGGCAGGATACCAACTAGGGGTGGACATTCGGTATTTCGGTTCGGTATTTAAGAATTTCGGTTCGGTATTTTGGTATTCGGTTTATCAATTGTATATACTAAATACCGTACCAAAATATTTCGGTACGGTTCGGTATTTCTTATTTTGGTTCGGTACGATTTCGGTATGATTCGGTTTAAACCAAATTTTTACTATCTCCCTCACTCCATTAACTAGTAGGAAGCAAACAACTGAAATATTTTATTTATTTCTTCTGCCATGGATCAACCAATTCTCCACAATCTATTCCTAATTTCTCGCATGAATGACTTCCACCAAACGTAGTTTTTGGTATATTACATATTTAATTAGCAACATTTAATATTATAAAAGGTATAATAATGAAATAATTTCATTTTATATTTATGGAATAATGATAGTATATTGCATATTTAATTATATAAATGGTATAAGATACATACATACTTAGAAATAAATATTTACAGAATAATATCGGTATAAATATTATATATTCAAAATTTCGCCAAAATATTGATATAAAAATTCAGGAGTGTATTATATGTTATAATTCAGTTTGTGGTATATTTATCGTATAAATATTACTATATGTTTGGACTATGTTATATAGTTGTATGAATTTCACTTTGTATAATATAGTACTATTATATACAACATATATAAATGACATAATGTACATATATAAACAGGTATATTCCATATAGTGATAGATATATATGTATAATATATCTAACATAAACTATCAAAATCCTACAGAATAATGGAACGCATGAAACACCATAGGATGCATTTCAATGTTGGATATTGTCGGATCAAGGAAGTATGTCAAAAGTTCTTTAAGATGGTAGAGAATGTCCAATGATTTATGCATCTTGTCTGGTCATTAATTATTTGCTTAATCTTTATAATATGCCATTAGTGTAAAAAAAATCTTTCATTTATGTAATAAATAAAGAATATTATTATTTTCTTAAATAATTTTTAAAAAGTGCTCACCCATGTCGATTCCTATTTGGAATTTGGGGTGTAGGCTTTAGGTTATTGGGCTAAAAATTAAAAATAAAGTTGGGCTTGGACTAAACTATTTCGGTATTTCGGTATCCCAAAATACCGAAATATCAAAAACCCAATACCGTATATCAAACCGAATTGCCGAAATACCGAAATTTTTGTACCAAAATAAATCAAAATACCAAAAAAACCAAAACAGAAATACCAAATTAATTCGGTTTGGTTTGGAATTCGATTTTTCGGATTTTATGCCCACCCCTAATACCAACCAAGCGAACTAGGCAATATAACGAACAAGACAAAAATGATGGCAAATGCTATGAGTGTGGAAGATTTGGGCATGTTCAAGCTGAGTGTCCTGATCTTAAAAGAAAGGTTTCATGAGGTTTTAACAAGAACAAATCATGTGGAAGGTGGAGTGATGAAGACAGTTCAGAACACGAAGAGATAGCAATTCTATGTTTCATGACAATTCTAGAAAACGACATGAACAAACTCTCAGGGTGCTGGACAGATGAGGACACTTCAGATGACAAATTCAAAGATGACAATGAGAACTGTTTCATGGCGCGGGGTGAAACACGCGAAGTAGGATCTTATAACTGTGAAAGATGTAATGAATTGCAGGATATTCTTGACCTTGCTTTGAAAGAGTTTCAAAAAATGATGAATGAACTAAAGAGACTCAACAAAGAAGTAAAAGACTGGAAACTCAAGCTTGAAGTATGCGAAATTGAAAAAGAAGTACTTCAAGATGAGTTTTAGGAATTCCAATGCAACTCAATGGTATGCGCAAATCAACCAGTCATAGTTCTGTCAAGTCGAACCAGGCGACTTACAAGTCAACTAGAGAAGGACCAGCCAGAACAGTGTCCACTAGTACTAACATAAATAAAAGATCCAAAACTGGATCAGGACTTATGTGTCACTACTGTAACAAAAGTGGACATAAATATTCTTTTTGTCGATTTCGTAAATTAAATATCTCGGGATAGATTTGGAAACCTAAAAATAATCCTGAGTCTAGTAATCCTAACCAACAAGGACCCAAGCAAGCTTGGGTACCTAAAAGGAAGTGATAATTATGTTTTACAGGAACACCGCAGAAGGAGTCGCAAAGAAAAATGGCACTTAGATAGTGCGTGTTTCAATTACATGACAGGTGACAAAAACATGTTTAAAGAAGTTACAAAAATAGACGGAGGAAGTGTCAAATTTGGTGATGACTCAAAAGGAAAAATAGTCGGTACCGGAATAGTTCCTTTCAATAATAATTGTGATATCACTGAGGTTTATCTTGTTGACGGACTTAACTATAATTTTCTGAGTATAAGTTAGCTATGCGGCTCAGGGTATGAAGTAAAGTTCAAGAAAACAGGTTGTGCTATTGAAGATAAGACAGGTAAAATAATCCTTCCAGGTAAAAGGTATGAAAATATCTATATTCTTGATGGTTTTGGAAATATAGATGGTCATATTTGTTTAACATCCATATCTGATGATCCATGGTTATCACATAAGAAACTTGGTCATGCAAGCATGCATATGATAGAGAAACTTTCCAAGCATGATTTAGTTATTGGTTTATCTAAACTCAATATCTTGGAAAGTTTACAATATCTTTGTATGTGATGCATGTCAGATTGGTAAACAAACTAGAAACTCTTTCAAAAACAAAGATATTGTATCTAATTCAAAGCCCTTGCAATTACTTCGTATGGACTTATTTGGACCCACTAGAACTGCTAGCATAGGAGGAAAATGATATGCCTTTGTTATTGTTGATGATTACTCACGCTTTACTTGGGTGATTTTTCTATCTCACAAAGATGAAGCTTTGAAAATTTTTGAGATCTTATGTAAAAAGGTCGAAAGAGAAAAGGGGTATCTTATTACAACAATTCAAAGTGATCATGGAGGAGAATTTGAAAGGAGAGCATTTGAAGATTTCTGCAATGATCAAGGATACACCCACAATTTCTCTGCTCCAAGGTCACCCCAACAGAATGGAGTTGTTGAGAGAAAAAATAGGACTTTACAAGATATGGCAAGAACTATAATACTAGAATATTCGTTGCCAAATCACTTCTGGGAAGAAGGAGTAAGTACAACATGTCACATTCTCAATCGATGCCTCATAAGACCCATCCTGAAGAAGACTCCTTATGAATTGTGGAAAGGTAAATGACCCAATATAAGTTACTTTCATCCGTTTGGAAGCAAGTGCTTCATTCACAATAATGGTAAGGACAATCTTGGAAAATTCGATCCAAGAAGTGACGAAGGTATTTTTTTGGGTTATTCATTAAATAGTAGATCCTTTAGAGTCTATAATAAACGCACATTGTGTGTAGAAGAATCAGTACATATTATCTTTGATGAAAATAACACTTCGACCGAGAAAGGAATTATTGCAGGTGATGAAGATCAAATTCAAAAAATTCAGGAGACAAGCAAATCTCAAGAATCGACTAAAACACCTGATGGTGTAATGAAGTCAACTAATGAGATTAGCAACAGTCAATCAGAATCTCCGAAGGAGTCAACTACTCATGCAAGTACAATTCGTCCAAATGAATGGAGAGGCGAACCGGAATATCCTCAAAAGTTTATCATGTGAGACACAAGCGAAGGAATGAAAACCAGGGGAGCTCTCAAGAAGAAAGCAAACATAGCACTGATTTCCCAGATTGAACCAAAGAAAATAGAGGAAGCTCTAAAAGACTCAAGCTGGTTACAGGCAATGCAGGAAGAGCTAGATCAATTTGACAAAAATCAAGTGTGGAAACTGCTGCCTAAGCCTGAAAATGCTCCTGTAATTGGAACAAAATGGGTTTTCAGAAATAAGCTAAATAAGGATGGAAAGGTTGTGAGAGACAAAGCCAGATTAGTAGCTGAAGGATACACACAACAGGAAGGAGTCGACAATGACGAAACCTTTGCTCCAGTAGCTCGACTAGAATCAATATGACCTCTTCTTGCATACGCATCCTTTAAAAGATTTAGGCTCTTCCAGATGGATGTCAAAGGTGACTTTTTAAATGGTTTCATTGAGGAGGAGGTATATGTAAAACAACCCCCCTGGATTTGAAGATTCAAAGTTTCCTTACCATGTGTACAAATTGACCAAAGCATTATATGGACTTAAACAAGCTCCACGAGCATGGTACGAAAGACTCAGCTCATTTCTTATTAATCACGGATTTACAAGAGGTAAAGTAGACACTAACCTTTTTATTAAAAGATCATCGGAAGGTAATCTCATTATTCAAGTTTACAATGATGATATTATTTTTGCTAGTGCTAATACTCTTATGTGCAAGGAATTTTCAAATCTTATAAAAAATGAGTTTAAAATGAGTATGATGGGAGAGCTAACGTTCTTTTTTAGACTTCAAATTCAATAATCTGAATAAGGAACGTTTATATGATAGACAAAATACACAAAAGAGTTGATTCAGAAGTTTGGTATGAGTAATGCTAAAGCTATTGGCACACCAATGAGTCCTTCAACAAGTCTTGACAAAGATGAATAGGGAAATCCTGTTGATGAAACTAAATATCGTGGAATGATTGGCTCCTTTCTTTATCTAACTGCTAGTCAATCAAATATTATGTTTAGTGTTTGTTAATGTGCCAGGTTTTAGTCAGCTCCAAAAGAATCACATGTGACTGCAGTAAAGAGAATTATTCGATATCTTATTAGAACTATTTCTCACGGATTATGATATCCACACTCTAACAATTTTAAACTAGAAGGTTTTTAAGATGCTGATCTTGCAGGTGATAAGGAAGACAGAAAAAGCACCAACGGAACATGTCAATTACTTGGAAAAGCATTGATATCTTGGAACAGTAAAAAGCAAGGATTAGTTGCACTATCCACAACTAAGGCTGAGTATATCGCCATTAGACAATGTTGTGCACAATTACTATGGATGTCTCATCAATTGGGTGACTATGAACTATTCTTTAAATTCATTCCAATTTTTTGTGATAACTCTAGCGCTATATGTCTCTCAAAAAATCCCGTGCATCACTTTAGGGCAAAGCATATAGACATCAAGCATCATTTCATTAGAGCTCATGTTCTTAAGGGAAATATAGAATTATCTTTTGTTGGAACTACTCAGGTTTATTTTCACTAAACCTTTACTTGAAGACAGATTTTTCTTTTTAAGAGAATTACTTGGTATTATTTCCATTGATCATTAATATTAGGACCTATGTGGTATTTTTATATTTTGTATGCCTAATGTTTAAACTTCTCTTTTCATAGTCATTAATAGTGCCTCCGAATTTCCTCTCTTTTCCTCTCTTTTCATATCAGTTGCAGCATTCAAGAAAGGAAAATCAATCATCATGCCTGTTCAACTGACACCCTTTCCTTTCCTGTACCCAACCGTCAGAAACCCCTTCTTTTAATATCTGAAACCCTCTTCCAATCTCCATCATTCCCATCGCCTAGAAACCTTCTCCAAAACTCTCTTCAACCAGTTTCTTTCATGGTTAAACACTCTAAAAATCCCTCAGCCTCCACCAGGAAAAGTACTCGCTCCAGAGAAAAACCTTCTTCCCAGCCTCCAGAACAAGTAGACCTAGGGTCCGACCACTCATAAGGCTTTGCCTCATCTCAGGAAGAACTCTCAGATCATTCTAATCCTCTAGGAGAAAAAGCCCTAGGAAAAAGACCTTTGGAAGAACCTCCTGAATCCTTTACTCCAAAGAAATTAAAAATAGATCTCTAAAGTTCTTTAGAGTCTGACCTAAATTTTTGAGATTCTCCAAACAGGGATTTTTTTATTATTTTGAAAGACAAGCCAATCGCTCATGGTAGAGTAGTCGACCTTGATGACATGGAAGCCCTAAACTGTAAGGTAAAAGATCTGTTTGTTTATCAAGGCTGGTCAAAATTCTTTTCTGTTCCCCCTCCTAAAGTCTATGAACTCCTAGTAAGAATGTTTTATGCCAATCTTTGCTCTAGTAAGTCTGACAAGTTGGAATCCTTAGTATTAGGAAAGCACATCGTTCTTGATTGTGCCATGTTTGACTCAATTTTCCAATGTAAGTGTTCTGGTTTTCCCATGCTTTTCAAAAATTCTTGGCCTGATGATTTTGAAATCACCTTTGATCAAGCAAAACGTTGTATTGCTGAGTGTTTATCTGAATCCCTCCCGAACCAGTTATGTCCAAGTGATGTTAGCTTTGAAACTAGTGTTCTAGCCCACATTGTTGCAACTACTATGTTCCCTCATACTGGCTCCTTCTCCATGAGTCTGACCATATGTTCTCAATTCTTTTGGCAAAATTTTAATTATATCATAGGCAAAAATTGGAAGTACCGGGGGGGCCGAGCAACACTCATTTCAGTGACCATTAATTCATCAAATCATCCCACCTTCACGTGTGGACCACCTCCTCAAAGCAGATAGATGTTATACTTCTTATTATCTTACAACAACCAACTATAACCAAAAGGCATGTTCTTGCTTTAGAGATATAGTTGCTCGTATTAAACTTCCATATCCATTATATAAAGACTAAACATACTTTTGGTGAGGATGTTTAGATATGAAAATAGCTCCATTTAGTATTCACTAATTGAAATAATGAACAAAAGCTTCAATTTTTTTTGACAAGAAATACAAAAAGTAACTCTAAAATAATATGGTAAGTTAAACAATGTAGTAAATACCTAAATGCAAAAGCTTAAATTCAGACAAAAAAATTCACTTCATTCAAATTTGACGACATTGGTAACTAAAAGAATTGACTTGGTGGTCATTTTGCGTGTTAGTCTACCTTTTCTATATTTTTGTATTGAATTTTATTATTATTTNAATACTGGTTCGGATTCAATGTGAATCCTAGTCCAGTCCCCTTGGGTTGGAAGGGAGTTCTCTTTCATTGATTGAATTTCTTGAGTACAAAGTGAATGGTGTAGTTTACACCAACAACTCAGTTTCTATGTCACTCGTCTTTTCTTGATACAATACCTCACCAGTATTTGTCTCTCTTTCTTCTCTAACTTGTTACACGGCAGATCCAGTAGAGCTACAATGTTTGTTTGAAGTAGAACAAAGAGAGAGTAATTAGTTTGATCAAAGTATATCTCTAAGACTTAAGGTTGCGTATAAATACTTTGTAGGAGACCGTTACTGAAGAGATTTGCCAACCCAAGAGATTTGATCCTTGGAAAGAAATTGATTCTTTCCAAGAATAAGGTTAATTCCCGTTACTCTTTCTTGTTGTATGAACTTTGACAACTTTCCATTTTTAAGTCTTGATAGTGCCGGATTTGCTCCTTAATTCTGGGTCCTTCCAGTAATAGCTACTGATTGATTATCTTGCCGGATCTTCAATTCTTCTTTTCCTTTTTAACTCTTCAATCAATCTCGGATTGATTATCTTACAGGATCGTTAGTGCTTCTTTTCCTTTTGAATGCTTCCTGCAATCTTTGATTGATTTCTTCCTTCAACTTTGATTGTTTCTCTTTGTGCACTTCGATCTTGGTTGATTTCCTTGAGTCCCTACACCAAAAGCAATTATATTATTTTTCATCATTAAAACTAATACCTAACAATCTCTCCCTTTTTGATGAGGACAAAAAAAATAATATATGTAAACATCAGTTAACTTTCCTGTATTTTACTCCTCCTCAATGAGTGCAGTTGACTCCCCCTCAATAGGTTCCATTGGGACTACTTCTTTTAATCGACTTCTCCTGTAGTATCTATAGTCGACTCCCCCTGCAATGGATGTACCTGCATGAATATATATATAGCCTTCTCCCCTTTTTTGACATGAGCAAAGAGGGGATAAAAACAACAATACACCAGATACTAAAGCAGAATTTGTAGCATGATATGCATGCAGAGTTAAAAAAATCATCCAACGATTGGTTATCCAGTCCAAAACAGCACAACAAAAAAATTGTTTGAAACTTCCACACTAACGATGCAAGAAATAAGTAAGAGTGTTGCAAATCGCCTCCTTCAGTTGATCAAAGCAAGCATTAGCTGAGACAGTCACTCCATCAAGCCTGTCGTGTACTTCCTTGAATGCCTTGACTGCGTTTTCCCTAACTTTGAGAATTGCAACCCTTATCTTTGAAACATCAGACCCTGTCTCTTTGGAGATTGCATGAATATCCCCAACAGTGGACTGAGTGGCAGCAAGAAGATCTTTGATGGTTGTCAGCTGGTTGTCATTGGCAGTCAGTTTCTCAGCAAGGTCATGATTACTAAGACTATGATGGGAAACAGAGGCTTTGGTCTTGGGATCAGGTTGAACATGCTTGACCTCACCTTCCTGTTTCTTAACCCCGGAGCTCTTCACACACACATATCCCATACTAGCAAACACCCTAGAATTGTAAGTTTTTGAAACAGAGACGATAGGATATTCAGAGATAGAGATATTATGAGCTTCCAGAATGTGAGTGATGGCCATGCCATAGGGCAGACTGGTGGGATCATCAGCACTTTCAATCGTAAAATTTATGACCAGGAGGATAGTTTGATCTTGAGTTTGGTCACAAGGCAATAGACAAGAAAGGTATCTCTTTGCACCAAGGCGCAAAAGTAAATATTTCAAATTAACAAAAATAATACATATACATCTCGCTATCTAAGTATTTGACTTTTGCGACTGTTTCACTTGTTCCATTAGGTCCATTCATGGAAATTTACAGATTTTGTTGCCTTTGTATTTGATTTTTTTTTGTCTAAGATCTTTATCAAAAGATGGTATTTTTACTTTTCAAACAAACAATTTGGAGATCTTGATTAAATATTTACAGTACGAAGACATACCTATCGACGCGGAACGAGAAGAAAAGAGAACAGTTTTGAAGCCATATCCTAGTGCGTCTATTTTATGGTCGAACAATTTAATAATTGAAATTAGTTCTTTTTTATTTTGCTTTGTGTTTAAAGTCGTGCTACGTTTTTCTAACCAGTTTTCCAGCA